CCCAAAAAATCAATAGAGACTCCTTGCCCACCACCAAGGAAAGCTCCAGTTAGTATATATACATGTATAATATAAATTGCTTGCTTGTTTCAACTGAATTCTATTACACGCACATGTTTTAATGAAACAGGTTTCACTGACTAGTTTCTTATGAATGTTCTTCAAAGAATAATTTCAGTAAGTTAAATGTGCATTTGTATGATCATAGATATTTTCTTGAAATTTAGACTCAGCGTCAATTACCAGTTGTACCAGAGAGAGTCGTATACTACAATTTGGAAGAAGTTTGTAGTGATGCTAAGAAATGTGAAGACTGGATTGTGTTAAAATACAATCAGTCACTTCTTGTCCTTGGGCAATATGACCATTCAGTGGGACAGATTTGCAAAAGAGTGGTCATCAGTGATGACTTTTCAGTCAGCGTGTTTTTTGGAGGTGTGTGTTACTAAAAATAATGTTTTCATTTGTATTCTCGATTTTGACTCACAATTTGTCCATCTTCTGATCTTCAGTATATATATAGTAGTAGAGTCATGCTAATAAATAAGATTATTCAGTAAATGAGATAATTTGATATTGAGTGAACATTCCAAGGTAAAGTATAGTCAGTTTTAAGTTACTGACCCTGGGGTTATGCAGGGTATAAAAGCAGGATCAATTTTTCCTAGTGCATGTATGAAGAAAACTTCACTTTCAAGCAATGCTATTCCTAATGATATCTTGGCAACCCAAGATTAATTTAAGAATGATTTAATTTAAACCTAGCTGATTCCTTGAAGCTAGAAGGGGGTGGGTGGGGCATGAATTGAGATAAAAATGTGAAAAGAGAAAATAATATTGATGTTAAATTTTTTTCTCAAGAACAGTTACAGCCGAGATTACTTGGGTGAGCACATTGGCCCATGGGCCTCTTGTTTTGTTTTTTCTTTCTTTTTTTTCATTTCTGCTGGTCAGGGTGATGCTGGATCATCAACAGAAATAATTTTTAAATCATTGTCAAAATAGTATTTGACTGTCAAACTGTTTTTAAAAATTCTCAGTTTGCAGTTTCAAACTATATTATTTTGGATGATTTAATTTACATCAGAGTGCAGGTTCACTAGTATTCATGTCGCAAAAGATGCTGGAACATCAATATCAGTAAGTTGATAAAGGTATTGGTCATACATTTTTTTCTTTTTATACTTGTGGAATTTTCAAATTTCTCAAAATGCCAATTAATGATTACTCTGCATCTTCCTGGGGGCCTTTTGACTTGACATATAATCATATTCTCAGTGTAGAAAATTTATGTTAAATGAAAAACTGATTGCTATTTAAGTTCTAATTAACTTTTCGTGAAAAGAGAAAATTAATATTGATGTGAATTTTTTTATCAAGAAGAGTTACAGCCGAGATTACTTAGGTGAGCACATTGGCCCATGGGCCTCTTATTTTGTTTTTTCTTTCTTTTTTTTTTTACATTTCTGCTGGTCAGGGTGATGCTGGATCATCAACAGAAGCAATTTTTAAATCATTCTCAAAATAGTATTTGACTGTCAAACTGTTTTTTAAAATTTTCAGTTTGCAGTTTCAAAATTTATTATTTTGGATGATTTAATTTACATCAGAGTGCAGGTTCACTAGTATTCACGTGGCAAAAGATGCTGGAACATCAATATCAGTAAGTTGATAAAGGTATTGGTCATACAATTTTTCTTTTTATACTTGAGGAATTTTCAAATTTCTCAAAATGCCAATTAATGATTACTCTGCATTTTCCCTAAGCCTTTTGACTTGACATATAATCATATTCTCAGTGTAGAAAATTTATGTTAAATGAAAAACTTTGATTTTTACTATAAGAGTGCTAATTTACTTTTCTACTTGTCAGACTAATGCTGGACCATCAACAGTTAACCTACATATATTTCATTCTCACATAATTTATCTGTCAAAGTAAAGCTGTAGTATTGACTTGGAAGGTTCATGATGAACATTGAAAGGCTAAAGCATGATCAATAGACACAAAGCAGGTGCTTTCTGTCTATCAATATATAATCTTTCTATCAGTAATATTCTATTATAAATGGTTAAGCATAAGAGAAATTATGCTTCTTGGTTTTACTAGATTATTGACTGTGCCCTAGAGCATGTCCAATGAACTAAATAAAAGTTTTCTAGAAACACACAATGTCATGTATTTTATAAATAACATATTTCTCTCTTTAAATTCCTTTTATTTATCAGAGGTATGTGTCCGAGGCTTGGCCAGTTCGGTGGAGAAAGTGTCATTGGCATCTTATCTTAAAAAAGTCGATGACCTTGTAAAATGCCCTGGTCTTTCTGAATTTCCCGAGGAGAAGCTGAGGAGCTCAGAAGGGTATAGATTTGTTTCAACCACCATTAGAGACGGTAAGCCAATTACCACTGCCATTTTACGGGCTCATAGCTGCTCAGGCGCAACAAAGCTCGGCCTCTGTGATAATTGCAAAAACTTGCTTAAGGATCTTAAAGAGAGACAAACATGTGATAGTAGACAATTGCATCCCAATACTCCCTTGGCCTTACTGTCACAAAGTAATCTTATTGAAGAAGTAAAAGCTGCAAGGGAGGGGAACAAAAAATTACAAAAAGTCTTAAAGTCTTTAAAACAGGATGACACTGCAGTGGTGGCAGATGATGTAGGTGAAGGACTTTTTGCATCTTTAGAGTCAAAAACGCCAGGCAACAGTCTAATGGATCTGTTTTGGAAAGAACAAAAAAAAGCCTTCTCAAAAAGTCCTAAAGGTACATGTATATATACATTTTTATAACCCCTGCTTGAAAAGTGGGAGGGTATATAGTGATCAGGGTGTCTATCCGTCCATCTGTCTGTTATGCTTTAGGAGAACCCATCTCTTATCTGCAACTCCTCCTGAGCCACTAAATGAAATTTAATTAAATGAAACTTTCACTGATTCTTTGTTACATAATGCCTATGTGACCTAATATTTCACTTTTTGATCTGAGACTTATTTTGGGTGCTTTCAGTACAAATTTTAAGTTATTTTTTTTTTAACCCAAACTGACCTTGTTATGTTATTTTATGCATGGAAAAGGACATACCATAGTCTTAAGTCTTTTGCATTCTTTGAACTCACTATAGATGAAACTAAAGCATAACTTCATGAACATACATGTAACTTGTGCATATTTCCATGTTGAGAAGATAAAAGAAAAATTCAAAGCAAGAAATTATTTTCATATAGCAGGGTCTTGTAGGAGAAAGGTGGATTTTTTCATAAAAGAGGCTGTTTAAAAATTATTTCCAAAAGTTTATCTTGCCAATTATGTACGTAATCCATCTATTTAATGTTTTATCAGGAATGAGGTGGCATCCCATGATTATAAGGTTTGCCATCTATCTGCAGTACCAAAGTTCAAGGGCATATGAAGCTCTTAAGGAAACTGGCATTTTGCGCCTCCCAAATAAATCCACACTGCGAGACTACACAAACTTTATTCAACCCAAGTCTGGTTTTCAGACACAAGCATTTGAGGTATAGAATATTTAAATGAAAATATTATCCAGAATTTTAATAAATGAAGTAGCACTAAAATACAATATTTGCAAGAAATTTATAAGAGAAAACTTTGTAAAATGCCTTCTTGGAAAAAAAAAAAGGAAAAATAAGAATAAAAACAGCATTATTTTCAAGGAGTTGAAAAAGATTGCAGAAAACTTACCCCCAGAGAAGAGATATGTAGCACTCTTACATGATGAGATGAAAATAAAAGAAGATCTTGTCTTTGATAGACGAAGTGACCAGGTCATAGGCTTTACAAACCCAGATTCATGGAAATTTGATGAGGTTCACTTCAATATGTAAATTCACATACAACTCGCTCAAACCAATTTTTTAGTTACAATTGTATCAGTCTATTTAAATGTGTGTCTTGTACAGAAACTGTGCAAAACATTTAAGCATAATGTTAATCTGTAAATAATATGACCTTGACATACTGAACATGATATACTTGGTATGCTTCTGACCATTTGATATTTCACGTATCAAGATTTTTAATTACCAATTACATGTACTTCATGGTTTATTGAAGGATGAAATCAACAGAATTGCCTCACATGTCCTTGTGTTCATGGTGGTGGGCATTAATTCCCACATCAAGATGTCCATTGGTCACTTCCCAACTAAAACTGCAACAGCAGATGTCCTTTATCCTCTTTTATGGAGAGCTGTTGCTTATCTAGAGACATCTGGACTAAAGGTCTGGTATATCTCTTCTTAATGTGAACTTGCATAAAAGTAACATTGGTTTATGTACTTGTATTTCTAAAATAGCATCTATGACATAGGTGATTTCATCCACCAGTGACAAAGCGTCACCAAATCAACGTCTGTACAGACTACATAGAGTAGGGAATGAGGCTGTGGTCTACAAAGCCGATAACCAATTCTCAGCAGAGAGCCGAAACGTGTATTTCATTTCTGATGCCCCACACTTAATAAAAACTATCAGAAATAACATCAACAAGTCAAAGCCTGGGGGAACAAAGTATCTTTGGGTTTGTGGATCTACCAATATGTCACAATATGTATCTTGTTCACAATAAATTCCAATCATTGATCAAAATGAAAACAAAAAAATCATGTTCAAAATAGGATGCCGTTCAATCCTACATATGTCTGTTAGTCATATTGTTAACTAAGATAAAACTGGAATACTGTTAATTATTCCAGAACAACAACAAAAACATCTTATGGACTCATGTGGAACAAATTTATAGAGATGATACTCAAGGGCATCTGTACAGGACTAAATTGGGGTATGACCATGTATACTTGACCCCTTCTTCTACTATGAGTGTGCGACTTGCAGCCCAGGTGAGAAAATTGGGTTTAAAAAACTGTTCTTAACCGTTTAACTTTCATTTAATAATATGTTGAATGGTTTGATTTGCGTTAATAAGAGTTGAGTAATGATAAATTTAGGTTTTGAGTGACTCTGTTTCAAGAGTCATGGCAGGATACTATGGACCAGTGATGTCTGAAACTGCAAAATTCTTCTCCCTGGTCGACAGATTCTTTGACTGCCTGAATGGCCGTTCACTGCAAGAGTCTGTCCGTGTTCGGAAACCGGATCTGGCTCCTTACAAAGTACAAAATGATCAAAGATTTCAGGTATCACTTCACTTGCTATGTAGGTCACTTTTAATCTATAGTTGACTTATTCAATAACTTAAACATTAATTTTGTTATTCAGTTCCTGCAAAGAGAATTCCTTGGATATCTGGAGCAGTGGATGACGGCAGTAAAAAACAGACAAGGATTTTCGAAATCTGAACAAAACAAAATGTTCCTCTCATATCAAACATATGAGGGGATTGTTATGACAGGTGAAGCACATGAAGTTCAGAACTAGTATGATTTATGTCTATGTCATTACATAACTTTTCACAATCAATTTAGCAAAACTTACCTTTTTCATGCATAATGAATGAAAAATGGTATTTCCAAGTCAAATACCCTTGTTCTCAAATTTGTATTCATGAAAAAAAGAAGAAATTCAAGAACTAAAAATGTCAGAATTTTAAATCATGAAAAATATATCATGAATATGCTTTGGAATTTACAGTCAATGCTTTCATAGAGGCAACTAAGTACCTGTTAGGCCAAGGACTACCATACGTGTTAAGCCACGACTTCTGCCAGGATCCACTTGAAGAGCATTTTGGGAGGCACCGTGGCCTTGGATCACGGCACGACAACCCTACTGCTCATCAGTTCAGGTTCGAGTAAAATATGTACAATTAACTTCATTCTATTCACTACAAGAGGACCATGGGGCATTGTGCTTACCTGAGTCACATTGGCCCTATTATTCTTTCATCATCAGATTTTAAAAAGATTGAGAAATATAGTTAATCAAATAATTTCTTTATACTTCTAATTATATTTAAAAAACCAAGCATCAATCATTATTACCAATTATTAATAATTTCAGTTATCAAGAAAACCAACTGCGATTGCAGAGAGATCTTGCATTTACTGTTAATCCGAAGGGAAATACAGCTGGCAGAAATGGGGAGAAGAGACCAACAGTTGTATCCAACAGCCCATTGAAACGCATTAAAAGGCACTAAATATAAAAAAAAAATATTAAAGAAATATTGTTGTCTAGATTCCTTTTACTTTCTTTCATAGAGAAACACATATAACATACAGCCCTCTAATGTAACAATCATTCAAATAATTATATCATTTTTGGTGTATCAAATGTTACAAAGAATTATATCTCTCAGGATGGTTATCTAATCAATAGACTTACGAAGTGACTTCTGTTTTCTGGCTGTTTTTGTCTTAACAAGATACTTTTCCATGGTTTGCCTACATTTAGCATGACACCTTACCTTATGGAACAAAGACAGAACAAAAAGCATCAATTTCTCTTATGAAGAAGAGTCTGTGTCAGTGTGGTATGTGCATTTGTAAAATACGCTGACAACAGTTTCATTCTGACAGACAGAATCAGTGAACTGTTGAAGTGAAGGAACAGATAAAACTGTTGCTGCATTACATAAATTTCTAAAGATAAATTCCAACAACATTACAAAATCTATAAATGCAGAGATTGGCTGCACTAAACCACCTCTTGATTTCACAGAAATCAGTTTTGAATTTCCATCTTTATCTTTCAGTTTCTCAATTAATGTAATAATTGAAGGTATTGCACCAAACTTTTTTTGACAACGAAAGAGTACAAACCCTGCAACATAAGAAATAATATCTCTTTCATTTGATGTCAAACCTTCTGCAGCATCACTACTGGAACTTTGGGGTTCTGATGTTCCATCTTTCAACATCTCCTCAGCTGCTTGGAGACAAACCAGGGCAGAAAGTTGCATATTGTCAAACAAAACATCCACACTTGCCTTAAGTGCAGGGAGCATTGAATGAAACTTATGCCATGCTTTTTCTTTAACAGCTGACGAAAAAATACCACTTCCAGCAGGTACTGGTAGAATATCGTTCAGCTGTTCCAGCTTTGATGTTAGTTCGTCTACTGCAAAACATAGTAACAATATCCAGTTTATCTTGGACTTTCAGTAAGGCGTGGTATTCTCAACGTTACATAATTAGCTTCTGAAATTTACACAGCTTTCTTTCTCTGTTGAAATATACATGTACATGGGATAGAAATTCTGGCAATTGTCAATTAGTGTATTTAATAACCAATAACATTGTCTCATTTGGCAAAGAGGTGGAGCTTAAGTCATCTCATTGTTGTCAACAACAATTTCAAGCTCCTAATGTTATTAATTCCTAAACCAATGAGAATCTATTCACCATTTGACACTAATTACATAGCATTGAGAATATGACACACCTTCATGAAAGTTCAAGCTTACCTGAGAATGGTTCTATATACACGTATAAGAAATAAATGTAACACAATACAAATGTATATGTAGTACATGCACATGTATATTAATAACATAATCATGATAGTAGTGTGTATGTATAGTAATAAGAACTATAAATTTACCTTGTGTGCTTGAAACAGCGGTCCGCATACTGGTTGGCAAAATTTCGTCGCTTTTAATAGCATCTAAAACTCGCGTAATCATTTCTATAGTAACGACTTTACCCGGACTTACACTTCTATTAAGGGTAGTTGGCATAGCCCCAGAGTCATCACTGTCCTCACCCATAATCTCCTCAATATCCTGTAAATGTTCCAATATTGTGAGATTTATAAAAGGTTTTTTTAAATAAAAAGAATCCCCTTAAAAATATATGGCAAGATTTTGAATATCATTGCTAAGATTTTAAATACATGTACAAGTATTAGCATTTCAATTATTTTAATTAATTTTATTAAAAGTCCATGTTGTTGTACAAAAAAAATGTACTACAAATGGCTGTATTCTACATGTATTACACAAGAATATTTTCAGAAGCTGAAGAGAAAAAAATACTTAGCCAATATCAGTGCAATAAATAGTGATGAGCCAGCATCGATGAAATGTTGGAAAACGACCAGCGACCAGCCAACTTTTCTGTTTGTTAATTAATTCATCCAAAATAATATATCACAATTGCAAACTGAATCTTATAATAGTAGCAGTTTGACAATTGAATAATATTTTGAGAATGAATTATTATTTCTTGTCTTGATCTTCAAAACTAAAAGGCTAAAGTAGAAATACTCAAACTTTGTTTGGAGAAAAAATAATTCAACAAGTCCAACAAAATTAAAAGCATTTCAATTATTTAGTCCATGCACTACAAATGCAAGTATTCTATTATACAAGAATATTTTCAGAAGCTTAAGCATGTTAAGAATAAGAGGAAAAAAATACTTAGCCAATATCAGCATGATCAGTGCAATAAATAGTGATGAGCCAGCATCGATGAAATGTTGGACAACGACCAGCGACCAGCCAACTTCTTTGTTAATCATTCATCCAAAATAATATTTCTTGTCTAGATCTTCAAAACTAAAGTGAAAACACTAATGATTCGTTTAGAGAAAAACAAATATTAAAACAAGTCAATAGACTAAGCAGTGTGTCAGTATGATATGTGCATTTCAGTGCAATCTTTCCATTAAAATGGCTATAATTATATAGCTTTATTAAGCTAATTTAAAAAAACTTTATTAAGCTATGTATATGCATTTTTTTTAATGTTTTTTTTTGTTAGAATAGTCCCCTATTGCAGCTTTTGGGGTAAGTTTTCTGAATAGCTTTATAAAGCTACAAATGCCATTTGAAACTGGACCTGTACATTACCTGACCTGCGACTACGAGTTCCTCAGATGAGTTCATTGATTATCATTCAGTGTGTTCAAAATGTTTTTTTCTATTTTTACCAGTTTATTTCTAAGACCCCATTTAAAAAATTAGATTCTATAGACCTCTTTTAACTTATAAACTAGCGTTTAAAGTCCAAACTATTTCGTCACTGGTCCGTAGGGTATTATCATTTTAAGGATGGAAGGTTCACATTTACACTACTGCAGAAGAATTTCTGCTGTGCACACATTATAAATGTAGTACAAGTGATTGCTAAAGTTACGAACTGAATCGTAATATAAAATTCAAAAATGCAAAGGTCAAATTACCTGAAACAACTCCTCAAAATTATCTATATCTTGCTCGGAAGACATGGTGAACAATAATAAGACGTCATAAACCGGAAGTCTTCTATGCATCCCGGTGAGGGCGCTGCGAACAGAAGAAGATATTTTCCCGCCACAGAGAGTCAGCAGTCCCTTCGATTTATGTCTATGGTGATAATCACTCTATTTTTCTAATTGAATTTGAAATAATTAAGAAAATACTCAAGAAATAATATTAATTTGAAAAGCAATGAAAATTATATGGCACGAAATGCGCGCCGTATATACCAAAAGCGAGGGAAAGTAGGTCACGTGACTTTTGTTTTCCTAAAATTTGGGTGCAATTTATCGTAAAATATGAAAATTAATCAACTTTACTGTAACAAATTAATGTTTTGACAACAATTAATCCTTAAAAATAGGGTTATAATAAGTAAAAACTTGTATTTATTCGTTACAAATCACGTTGTGAAACATCAACATTAGCAAACACGTGGTTCGTGAGATGCTCGGTGATTTCACAAAAAAATATATGTTGTTGCAAGTTGGTATCCAAGAAAAGCGTAATTTCGCAGATTCCACAGCTACCGGCGACGCCAATGTCGTAATGGTCGACGAATTACCTGACAAATCCCTCCAGATTAGGTCAATAAGACAGGCTATGTCTAGCAGACGTCTGGCAAGATGGAGGTCAGGGAGATCAATGTTAGTCGAGATAGGTCGTACACGGATGAGTCGGGCTGTGGTACCACAATACATTGAATATTTCATTTAGGGCGAATTTGTTGCACGTAAACTGGTTCAGGTTTTGGTTTAAGGTTTAAAACTAGTTTTTCAAACTGGTTTAAATTTCAATCCGGTTTACCTCGGTAAAACAAATGAACAGTTTATACAAGATGGCATCAAAAGATGCAGAACAACATACATGTATTAACCATATTACACACCCAAATAAATTTGTTAAAATCTGTTTCTTAATATTAGAATCCAAGATATTATAAAGTATTTATATCCTTTGATTGTCTTACTTATAGCCTAGTTAAAATGCAGTATTTATATTTTTAATGCCTAAAAGATTTTAAAAAATGAATAATTTCGACATTTAAAAACATGGAAAGATATAAAATATAAGGCTTCAGGAAATAGATAAATGCCGCATATTTGAAATAATGGTGTTTGTTCAATGATAATGAACAGAATATGTTAAATTATCACTCGTGTATAAATAATTACTCTTTAGATTTCCAATATTTAAGCTTTCTTTACAGTATGTTCTATAATTAACCATACATATTGAATTTTGTCCAAATTATTCAAAACTTATTTTTGAAAAGGAAAATTTTAACATATTCTGTTCATTATTATTGAACAAACACCATTATTTTAAATATGCGGCATTTATCTATTTTCTGAAGCCTTATATTTAGTACATCAAATATCAGAATGTGGCATTTTAGTCAGAAGAGTTGTTTGTCCCCGAAAATACTATTATTTATAACTTTTTTCTTTATTAAAATAGTCACCAACTTTCATCATCGCCATATTGGAATACTTCCCGCTCTTTCGTAAACCGAATAAACCACCATCGGAGGTGGTTTGGTTGGTTTAACGAACTAGTTTCAGTTACAGCCAAAACAAATGAAAAACCGGTTCTGGGTTCAAACTAGTTTAAAACCAGTTTGTGGAACTAATGAACGGTTTACAAAACTGGTTCAAAACTAAACCCAGTTTTTAAGAAACAAATTCGCCCTTAGTCAGACACCAGAGAAGAATCCTACTTTAAATCTCATTCATGTGTCAGTTGGTCAGTCTATCCGTCCGTCATGAAAACTATTTACAAGCGCGGGGAACCGACGAGCAAAAAAAAAATTAAATTGGTGTGGCCTATTAAATAATTTACCAAATCATTATAAATTAAAAGTTGCCAATCTTAGGGGTAAAATAATTTTGCCTTAACTCATTTTTTTTTTTCGAAAAGGGAGTCACTGTTTCACCTTAATTCGAGGATATTTTTTGTAAAGAAGGACACCCCTTCGTAAATGACTTCTTTCTAAATTT